CCTCTCTCCCTATGAAGGGGCCTCAATCCTTCCCTCCCTCTCCCCACCCCCCACATCAGGCTACCTGCGGGAGCTGATCTCCAGGCTGCCTGGCAGCCATGTGCATGTGTAAGTACAGACATACACATGGCACCCCCTACCTGATGACCCTTCTCTCACTCCCACCAGCCCCTTGCAGGCTGGAATGCTGCCAGCTTGAAGAGAGCTCCTTGCAAAAGTTAAAAATCCCCGTGTTTCTCCATTAAAATGAAAAATCTGCATTTTTCTCAGTTAAAAGGGAAAAATCTGCATTTTTTCCCATTTTTCCGCAGGAAACAGAAAACCTGGATCCCTAGTCATATCACTATGCACAAGGCAGGCTTCAGAATTTTGGCTAGCACTTCACTTAACTTGGTTTATAAAAAAAAGTTTGAAAAAATGTGTACTTCAAGGGGGGGAAAACAACTTCATAAGAGGATAACTTTTGTTAGGTTGGATTCAGATCAGAAACAAGAGAAGAATATGAGGTCATTCTCTCCTGAATTAAATTATAAAATAATTTGTTTTTTGCTTTTTTTTAGAATTTCTTTTTATAGAGTTCTGCAAGAGCCTGTAGCACCCTGGTGATGTTATATGATAAGGCTTTACCTTAGGAGTAGGGAATGAAGATCATTGGATTCCCCCAATCTCTTTCTGAAGATGTGGAGTCCAGCTGCTTGTTCCTTCCAGCCCCTACAGTTGGTTTCCATTAGTTTGAATTGTTTTAATTTTTTTAAGGCTGTCCCTGTAATGGAAAGAGTTGGGTAAAACACCCTTTTAGTTTGGAAGCGAAAAATCAACTTCATATTGCCCACAGGCTGATGTTCTGAATTGAAGATTTATAAAAGTTCCCTCTGGTTAATAATGTTTTCTTGCCTGCCTTGGGATTGTGTAAGGTCTGCTTTCAGTGTATTATATGTAGAGTACCTGATCCAGTTTCTGTTATCTTCCACTGAAGCTAATTTGGACCCATAAAGTAGAATACATGATGAATTGTAGAATAAAGCGGAGACCTCTGGAAGCTTAGCATTTAGTAAATGATCGTTCTGTAAAGTTAATTACTGTGCAATATAGAATATGATCTATCAGTGTTTGAAATATGTATTATTATTAAAGACTGGGATTTTTAAAGGCACCTACATGATTTAGATGCCAAATTCCATTGAAGTAAAATAGGAATTCAGCTCCTAATTCCCTTTGGCTCACTTGAAAATCCTCTCCCAAGTAAATAAGCTGTAAGGGCGTGACTCAATAGTTTCCAGTTGACTTTAGTGGGCATTTAATTGGGCACAGTGATGGTAATTGGACTTGATTGTTCAGATTTGTTTTAGTGAGTAATAACAAACCTGAAAATTAGATGTCATAATGGAAACAACAGTGCCATTTTAGCTGTTACAACATAGCTTATTCAGCGTATGCAGAAACGGCTTTCTTTTCCATTGTCAGAATAATTTACAGGAAATTATTAACATAGTGGGGCTTGCAACTACAATATGATCTCTCCCAGCATGATTCACTGAAGTACTTTTAGCCTTTGGGCAGAGATTTAATTCATAACATTTTGTGAAGATAAATAAAACTGGTTTCTATTGTGTTGTTATTGAAAATACTAACACCATTTGATAGAGCACCCTGTATTTATTTATTTTTTTTAAAAAGCAGTAGTAAAATAACCCCCACAAAGCTGTTCTCTTGATCTTGTAATCTTCCTTCCACCACTGATTTTTTTTATTTATATTGCTTAAAATGTTCAAGTTTTAAATTCTGTATAGAGGAGCAACATATAAACTGGCAAAGGTAAAACTAAAGCTTTCTATAGTGATTGTTGGGAACAAGTATTTGGAAGAGGACAAAATTGTTGGATTGCAGCAGTATGGAGGGGAGGGAAGTTCAGAGCAAGTTTGACTTAATGTTAGAGAGTACATAGTACACCATAAGTTTTTTTAGAATAAAGTAGCAATCAATGGCATTAAAGATTCTCAGCAAAAGGATGGAGTAAGTGCTCTTGTCTTAATAAAACTACCAGAATTTATATAAAGTAAATCATTAACCTACTTTATACACATGTAATGGCTTGGTATTAGCTGAACAATTCCTAATGACACTTTTCTGGAATCACAGTTTGAATAAGGTTTTCAGTTGAAATACTGAACATCACCCTGATCAATTGTTGTTAATGGTAGTCTAGGGTAAAAATATTTATGTCCTTAACCCAAAGAAAGGCTGTTCAATAAACTAGGTGCTTAAAGAATCACCAAAAAATTGAGTTAATGTCTACTTTTAACTGTTTTTAGCTGCCCAATTTGCTTAAGTAGAATTACTTCACATCCTGAAAGCAACGGATCTATAAATAGAACACACCTCTACTACTGTCACCCCAGATTACAACAGAGAACTTTGTGCAATACAGATTCTGAATATTTTCAATGGAGGTTCACCACCTTTCAAAGTGATGACGTATTGAAAGATGAAAGGTATTTAATGACAGTAGCTGAGAAAATGTAAGTATTGAAATACTTTAGCAGCAGGAGGTGCTTGGTTTCCCACACACAAATACTCTTCTTCTTGCCTAAGAGTTAAGAGACATGACACACTCAAGTCTTAAATGGAGAGGGGTAGCTTGTAAGACTGCCTCTTTGGGAATAAAATGCTTGACAGTAGTAGAATGTCTATCATATAGTTGAGCATCTTCTTGATTGTAGAATAAAACCAAAACATATAGAAATAAACACTAATAAGAAAATGTAGTCATCCAAGGTTAGTCAGATACCTAGAAACAGCACTGGATCTGAAGTATAAACTTTTTTGCTATATTCTTTAAGGTAGTTACCCTGAAGAACTTTTTTTAAGAACTAAAAGTTTCCATTTCATCCCTATATCTTGAAGTCTTGAACTCATTTGAACCAAGTGTGCCTAGGATTTAGGGGTATCAATAAAATACTGTCCAGCTCATTAGGGCTGAGAACCCTGTTGGATGGAAAGCCAAAACCCAAGTATTTATATGGCCCTAAATAAGCCATTTTCCAATATCCTGCTGAGGAGGTTTTCTCTTCCTATACAGAAGAAGGCACATACATTTTTTCCAGCCCATTATGTCTCTTGTGCTAGATGTTGTCCAATATTTTCATGAAAATATTTTATATCAAAGCTGATGAGAAAACCTTTCTTATAATACAAGAACATATAGGCTTGGATTAAATTGGCACCATGTACAGGATGACAGCTCCCTGGTTTTCTTAAAGCTCTTTCTTTCAAGTTCAAAACTTCAAGAATTTTTAATAACATTTTAGTAGTTCTTTATAGACCCAGCAAAGAATTACCCATTTTGAGATGGCACTGTAGTCTCTTTACCACTTTATCCATGTCCACCAAGAATGAAAATAGTGTTTGTTTGTAATGTGGTTTTATGGCTAATATGAAAATGACAGTCCTCACATAAGATTATCTTCTATCTTGAGAAAAGTCTTTAAAGCATTGCTGAGGAAAACAGTTCTGAGATTCTACAGAATGTATAACAAATAATAGTCATTTTTATTGTAGCAGCCACAAGTGTTAACTGCTTCACAGGAAATGTTTGGTTTAGTTAAGTTTAAAATTTAATTAATTTCCTATCCAAAGTGTTTAATCATATTATATGAAGAATTTAGAAAAGGAAGTTGTACCTGTTAGTAATTAATAATTAAAAACATGGTGTATAAATACATAAGATCTAACTATAAACTTGCAAGAGTTTCATGTGACCTCCTCCCCCATCATTAACCTCCATGAAAACAGAACATAGGTTACTTACAGACATTAAAAAAACCCAAAATGGTACTTAACTTTAAACTCAGCCCCCTATTAGATAAAAGTGCCAAAAAGCCCTACTGAAGCACCTGATCTATATGGATGCTGCTTCTTCTGGTAAAATGTGTCGGTTTGGGGGTTTTTTTGGTGGGGGGTTGTTTTTTGGGGAGGGGGATAGGGGGTGCTAAACATCTATAAGCAACCGTAGGCCTTTAGAAAACCCTTGGTAGCTGAGATTTGCTTCACTGCAGACTTAACTTAAACAGTAACATTAATGTTGCCTCTAACACAAAATCGTGAATGTGAAAAGGTGGACCTATGTATAGCCAGTGAATGGGCACTGTTATATGTGTAATTTGGTTAGCTCTGAGAGTGGTAAGAAGCTTGATCATCCTTAAAATCTTAGGTAATTTTTGCTAACAAACTACAAGAAGTTTCTATTGAGTACGTGTGACCTGTAACTTAGTCAAATTTGGCAGATTTTCATGGCAATTACAAAATGCACAGCCTTGATACAAAGGCTTCTGCCTGGCACATTTTTTTCTCTTTTACCTAAAATGAGCTGTGCTATAGAGGCACTAGAAAGTGACCACCACTGAATTTTTTTCCTTAGCTATATTCTTGAAAAAAGACAAGCTCATTCTGGTTGAAACTTTGAAGGGAAATCAGTGAGAGAGAGATACCCGTCTTGTAAAATGTCAGCCTAAATGGATAAAGTTTGCCAAAGTTACAAGCAACTGAAAACCAGATCAAATGCATGAAATGCAAACGGGAAGCATTAAATAACCAAAAGATTAGGCAGTACTACTAGTCCTGCCAATAAAAGCATTCTGCTTATTCATACAGTTCTGACAAAAATGTTTTCGTTTTTTCTTGTTTCCTTTGGTTTGTTATTTTTCCCAAGTTAGACACCTGAGTTAAAAATGTCACAATCACTTGTATCTTTGATAACATTTTTGGGGCAGAGGCAGGAGTGGTTGAAAAACAGATAAATAGTGAATTTGTTCATAAAGATAAACAAAGAAAAGAACCAAAAATTGGCAGCTAATTGTTTTTATTAATTTCTGTAGATTTTACATGACACCTGGAGACCATTTAGAATGTTACTTGCCTGTGCTAATGTTGTGTTTAAAAATAACATTTGCATGGTGCCAAATCACTTCAGAGTTGGGTACAAATATTGAGACAAAAAACCCAGCTGTTATTGCTTTTGCTGCTAATTTGAGGTGTCAAATTAGAGCTCAACTGCTGTATGTCAGTGAATAAAGCCCATTGTGAGATCATTATGTTTTCCAGCAGTCAAGAGTAATGGATTAATCAGTGCAGCATCAGTTGTTTTCATTATATACCCACACAGTGGTTATGGGCTTTAATTTAAATGCTCTGTGGGGAGATCAAAGAATTTAGTACAGGAGGCACCCAGAACTGACCAAAAATGTGAAGGGATTCAAGGAAGCTTTGGATCATGCTTGGCAACAGCTGTTCTTCGCAGCTTCAAAAGTAGAGGCCAAGGATAGTTAAGGCAGCTCAGCTGTGAGAGAGTCACTGCCAGAGCCACTTTGTTTTGTTCATCAAAGACCCTTAAGAAATACTAAACAGTTTATTTAATTCTAGTATATTTTGACCTAGGCTAAAAATACCAGCACTTTACAGGTACTGAAAATACAAAAACTTGCACCCCAGGACCCAAAAGTCCTGCCAAGGGGCAGTAATTATAATGGTGTAGAAAATGCAAGTGCACAAACTGGGTATTTAGCTACTGAAAATAAATGTAGGTTCTGATTTTTGGAAGTGCACTTTTATCCTGTCTCCCAGTGTAATTATTAGGAGCCGCAGGTACTGAGCACCTTTGCATATCAAGCCATTACTAAATACCTCTACAAACCGCATTACTAAAGCACCAGGGACAAGACCTGGAACATAAGGCCAGTTACAGGCATTACATATTAACCAATATAAGTCATCAGAAACTGGGCTAAACCTGCAACAGAACAGAAGTTCAGTGCACATAGGCTGGTTTAAAAATGGTGGAACCTGCTCCAGGATAGACCTGGATGGATGTAGTTATCAGACTTAATTGATTTAGGTTAGACCAGTCTATCAAACGTCTGTACTAGATCCCCTCATCACTCAAGTTAGGTCTCAGTCCACAGCATCCCAGATGCCTTTATGGTTCTCCCATTTCCCTATCCTCACTCAGAGTTCGGCTTGAACTCAGCTCTGACTCAGCTGCTATGAGCTGTCAACTGCAGCTGCAGGAAGGAGGGAATGGAGAATCTGTAACTCTTGTATTTGTCTAT